TCGATCCCGACACACGGTCTGCTGCTCAATGCCTTCCCAGTTTACTATTTCAGAATTCAGATCTCAAATGTGCTGCTGGCTGCTGCTGTTGTTGTTGTTGTTGTTGTTGTGGCATTTTAGAATCGTACTTTACGATCCAGACGGCTAGACGTTCGATAGATCTAACTCAAACGTAACGAATCGCAACAGGAACAGGCCCAACCAGACGAGACGTGTGAATTTCAATAGTTTGCGATAATTCAAAGGTGTTAGAGGGGCGGGGAGCTAGCTGGTGTGCGGGTTACGCACAGATCGGGACGGGACGGTATCTCTGAGTCGCTGTCTAGGGCAGGCCCCAGGCCACTGAATGGGTTTATTCTCGCACTCGCACCTCGCACTCGCTCTCGCACTCGCAGGTATTCATCAGTATTCAGATGTGTGCCTGGTCGCCTCGAGGGTCGGGTAAATATTTGCAATTGACTTTACGATTTTTACTATTTGTTGACAGACGTAATCAATAAAAATTTTTAAATACCCACACAGCCACAGACACACACACACAAAGACACAGCCACACTCTGCTCTGTCAGACGACACTTGGACATAACACGAGCAGCATGTAGTTCGAGTATCTGAAATAGACTCACACAATTATAGATTGTAGAATGCAACTTCAGAATACTACGGACCAGAACCAGCACCAGCACCAGACCCCAGACAGACACAACAACAGCCACAAATTTGAATATTTATGAGTTGTCGTCGTGCAATGAATGGCTTCAAGTCGTTCCTTTTCTTTTTTTACTCATATTTGTTTTTTTTTTTTTTTTTTTTTTGTTTTTTTTTTTGATTGTTTAGGTTTGTGGGGTGTTCTTGTTTTGTTATTTATCCAATTTTCGAGCCAGACACAATTTATAGTTTTATTTTATGCAAAACATTTGCTGTCGTTTCATTTTCAATTTTCGATTGTGGGTGAAGCCTCTGGCTGTGGCATGCGATACCCTCTATGAGATGGCTAGGGATGGGGGTATAGAGGATTGATTGATTGATTCAATTGGATTGAATTGTGTGTGAAATGATAGTAAGGAGAGCAGACTATCGGAGCCGACTATCTTTGGGAGTATTTGCACGGGCTACACCTGTTGGTGGTGGTGGGTTAAACGGAGAGAAAAGAAATTCTAAAAGTTATACAAAGATTTAAATCATTTATAAATAAGTTCAAGTACTACCGAATGAATTTAATTTGGCAAATGGAAGCCCAGGGCTAGGCTATCCTTTAAGAGCCTTGGATATGTATTTATGCAAAGCAAAAGAAAAGAAAAGAAAAGTTTTCTGTTCACATTTGTTGATCCCCAAGCATAATCCCTGCCACTTTCCCCCTTTTTCTCTGCTTATAATTGAATTTTTGAATATTCTTAAATCCAATTGGGCAACGGAAAGGAAAGTGTTTTTCCTTTGGGATCTTTCTCTCTGTAACGTCTTGTTGTATTTTTTTTGTGTGTGTTTGTATCTTTCAGAGCAAAGGGTATGCGACATTTATCAGCGCGACTGAAACCGAAACTCGACTTTGATGACTTTTTGTTGTTTATAGTTTTTTGTTTGTAACTTTTTTTTTTGTGAGTTTGTTTTTTTTTTCTTTTTGTTTTGGGGTCTGCCTTAGAATATTTTTTTATTGCGCGTCGGCGAGACCTCCATCTCCGAAACCTGCCCCCCCGCTCCCACCATAGCTCCGGCTGAGAGTCTCTCCGACTACGACATTGTGGGGGCACACCTTTTTCCATTACCCCATGGAACTCATAAGCATCTATCTCTGTGTGTCTGTGTGTGTGCGGGTGGGGTGGGGGGGAAACGAGTCTGTGAGAGTGGTGCCAGGTGTGAGCGGAGTGCGGGGAGGGAGTGTTTGTTTACCCACTCTGTCCCCAAAGGGGTTCTTTCGGGTGGCAGAGGGAGGCCATATTCTTATTCTTTATTTGCATAGCAAATTTTTTTAATTTTTTTTTTTTAGCTTCTTTGCTTGTTGCTCCTCCCTATTCTCCCTCTCCCACTTCTTCTTCGTTTTCTTGTTATTTTTTATGCGTGTTTATTTTTCAGTTTTATGTCTTGGAACTCGCGAAAACGAGAGCGCAAAAATATAAATAAATTCATAAAGAAATATTTTTAAGCGTGTTGTGGGCTTGCCCCGAATACAGGGTATCATTACGTTGCTAAGGGTATTTTGTTTCAAACTCTATTTACATCAATATGAACGAATTGATAATGCTTCTTTGGAATAATGATCCGATGATGATCTGGCTAGATCTGGCTGTTAAATAGGATACCTTAGCCCTACTCTACACCCCCTGGGATAGCCTAGTAGCAATCGTTTATTTAAAATATTTTTTTGCAGCCAATTGATTTGACAAAACAAACCTCAAGGCTTTGCTAGAGTTTTGATTCTCACTCATTATCGAATAATTTCTAAGGGCAGAAGAGCAAAAATACAACAGCTAAGATCATATTTTGTGTGTCTTCCTTGGGTGCTTCTTAAATAAATTTTGTTTAGCCTTTTTCAGCGAGATATTATAATCATTTTCTTGTGAGGAATTTTTTGCTTATGTTCATAGATCTTTAGGAGGTATCTGCTCGGCGGCTTATCCTACTAAACATCTCAAATCTCACTTCTAATATTTGTTGAGGTATGTTGCATGCCTACTACATACTACATGTGCACTTATAATAAGTATGCCCAATCTTGACCTAGACGACGATTCCAGTTGGGCATTATCAATATCGCACGTGCCGCTCCCAAGGGGTAGTCGTTTCAGCGGCTGGATGGGGGTTACTCTTTCCCCATACGAGACCCAACCCACCTTCGGTGGCAACTTTTTCCCAATCGTAATATTTTTAGAAATAATCAAAAATTCAACACGAAATCAATAATAAACGTAGAATTTTCAGGCTTTTCCTTTATTGCTTCCTCCTATAGCGCCCCCCCTCTCCTTCTTCTGTCTCTTTAGCTCACTTTTTTACCGCCCTCTTCTCGCCCTCTCCATTTCTATTTCGCCGATTGCCGTCCCTTGTCAGCTATTATTTATTGCGTTGAAAAGTTTCATTATCAATTTTTTTTTTTTACAATTTACATAAGGCATAAGGTCTGGTCTGGTCTGGTTTGGTCGGGTCTGCTGTGGGGCTCTCTACTCGCCGCTGCTTGCAACTTTGTTGCGGCTTCCAGTTGGACTTTGTGGCTGTGTGGCTGTGTGCTGGTGTTGGTGTTGCTGTTGCTGCTGCTGCCACCAAATGGCAGAAAGCAACACAACGAAACCAGCAACAATGACAGCAAATGGCAGTGTAAAACTTTTTTTTAGTGATAGCCATAGATATTACCAATGGGCACAGTGGTAGCAAAAACAAAAAATATAGCCCAAAAAAAAAGCTGGCAGTAGATTGGAGTTGAAATCTAAAAGGGGCCATGAACACACCTAATTTTGGATTTTATTGGGCTTTTGAATACTCCATAAATGGCAGCTGCAGTCAAGCACTATTTTATGTTCAACGTTCATCGGGTTTATAGTTTTGAGACCAAGCATAATATGTTTTCGAATTTCTCTGATCTGCCAGCAGTCTGCCAGTACTCTGCCTGAAAATCCGTAGTACCATTTTCGGTCTGAGTATTCCAAAGTCCATTTGGTAACTCCAATTTTGTGTCTGCGCCATTGCATTTATCAAATTTTTGTGCTGAAGAAGTTTCTCCATTCCTATGTACACATGTATATCCCTCTATAATATCACACCTTGTATCCGAGGTGTATCCATTTTATCATAAAATATCCTATCCATATATTATGAGCAATTTTCGCACTTATATCACTATCTGGAAGCCATAGGCCCCACTGTGTCTGAAACAAAGTTGGCAGACCACAAAACTGAACAGCAGCAGCGGTGGTAGTGCAGGGCGCGGAGCTGGGGCAGGGGTAGGTTGGGGGTTGGGCGTTGGGGGGAGCCTGTGCAAACAAAACAAATGCCATGAAACATTTTAAAATTCAAATCAACGCGATTTCTGCTGTTTCCTTATTTTATTTTGCACAGTTTTTCGGTGGAAGGAGAGTGGGGGGGGGGGGGCTGGCGTAGTTTTGGCTTTATATTTCTGCCCCCCTACCACCGCACCATTGCCGGTTCCTTCTTTATGATTATTATTTTTATTTTATTTTTTGTTTTTTGTTTTCTTTAATTTCTGGTCACGTATTTGTTTCGTTTCGTTTCATTTTTGGAAACAATATTGTGTGCCATGACAATAATAAGAGTCGTGGACGGGTCGGGACGGATAGGGACGGCTCTGCTCTGTGTTGCATGGAACCTGCCACTGGCACTGGCTCTGGCTCTGGCACTGGCTCTGGCTTTGGGGATGGGTTTTGAGCCGGTACTGGGCCTGGAGACTGTTTTTTGTGGTCGGAAGGGTGGGGGGATCTGAGTTTCTGTAATTTGAGCCAATTACTCGGTGTGTGGGGTGTGGTGAAGCACTGGAGGAGCACTCTGTTGGAGATGGTGCAAGGTGTTGGAGTGTTTAGATGGAGATGGAATGGAGATGTACGAGGACAAAAAAGCCAAAATTGAAATTTATTTTGGCCAACACACACACACACACATACACACACACACACACACGTAGCATGTCAGACATGCACAAACAGGCACGGTTTTGTTTTGCTACACATTTAGCATTTAGCGACCCATTCCGCTCCGTTCAGTTCTGTTTTTGGGCTTTATGATTTGATACCCTAGCGAAGGGTGTTATGATACATGTAGAAATATTGTATAGTAATTTTATAGTCTTTGGTACTAGTAGCAGAGTGGGGGGCAGTGTGGGGGAATTTAGGTGTTCATAATCCAGAGCAGTTTAATGATTTCTTTTTCTTTTATTTTCTGGCACTGTAACTTTAGTACATGTATATAAGAATAATATAATAGTAATACTAGGATATAGAATAGTACGATATAGTACATTTGCAAAATTTAATGAATTTTCCAATGATTTCTTATTACAGATATTTATATTTGCGTAATTTTAAAAAAATGCTTAGGTAAGTGATGAAAAATTGTCATTGTCTTATACCCTCATTAATCTTGGATTGATTAACATTCGAAAATTATTTTGTTTCTCCTTTATTTTGTTAAAAATGTACCAATTATGTCAGAGTTTTTTTTCCTTATCTGATATCTGATAGTTCCCTGGCAAAAAATTTTCTCTTTTGTCGACTTTAAATTATAAATAAATCCTCTCTCTATAAATTGTAAGGGTATTTATTGCATGCTGAACTTTCTAGGGTATTCACGGCTTCGATTCTGATGTGCTGATGTCCTGCCTCTGCCTCTGCTGTTGCTGGCTTTTATGTTTTTATTTCTTTGCACAGTGTCTGGTCGCATAAATCGTCGTCCTTCTATTGTGGCCTGCATGCTCGTACACTCCCCACTCCGCATCCAGCCAAGCATCCAAGCATCCAACCATTCATCCATATTCCCTGCCCCATGTTCGCATTTGCAAAATGCGAATACGTGATCTTCGCATAATAATTACTCCCTGCCCGACGACTCTCGGGTCTGAGGTCTCTTTTTATTTGGGCATATAATTCTTAATGGCCATGGCACATTTCTCTGCCATTTCGTGCATTTAATGATTTTTTATTATTTCTGCCTCTGCTCTGCCTCTGCTCTGCCACTGCTCTGACTCTTCTTTATATTTTTGGGTAATTTGATTTGACTGTTCTCCATTCGTTATTGTTCACTTTTGTTGTTTTCTCTTGGCCAATTTTTTTGTGTGTTGCTGCTGTTAGTCCCCTGACTTTAATAGGTTTTTAATTATTTTTCATATTTTGCTTGAAAGATTTTTTTGTAGTTATTATTAATAACGAAACGAAACAAAACGAAACCAGACGACAGCTGCGGGAAACGAAGAAGCAGCAGAAGAGTTGAGCGGGGAACCTTTGTGCCAAACTAAAATTAATCCGACTGGGAAGTTAAAGTAGAAATAAATACAAAAAGATTTGTGACTACATAGGAGGAGTATATCATGAACGAGTAAAGTTTCTTTTATTCATTTAATGCACATAAAGTCGGAATTCTGAGGAGACTAAATGTTTCGGTAGTCAAAATCATTTAATGGGGAAGTTCTACTAAATTTTATACGGGAGTTGAGCAGGAGTTTCGGTAGTTTTATGTGGTAGTTCCATCAATGAACTGGTTCTATGTAGTTATATATCTACATAATTTCATAGAACCTTGGATTAATTACGGGTCACACTTGAACACTTTTCCCTGAGTATATATTCTTTTGAATTATGCATTCAGCACTAATTTATTGCTTCACATTTGGTGTTTGGCCGAAGCAAACCAAAAGTAATACTTCCAATCACATATTTAACCGAATTTAATTGAAACGCGACTTCCATAATTGGCTAACCAATTTTTGGTCAGTGTTTATTGGCATTTTCAGCAAATGATTTGGTAATTGCTTGACATAAAATGTCCTAACAAATTACCTGAATTAAATTAATATTTAGGCACGCAATAATATTCTGGGGGGTAGGGGGGCACGAATAAAATGTATTTCTGTCCAAATAAAAATTATAAATAATACTGTTGAGTGTAACCAAATGAATAACATCGATGGATCCAAAACCGGATACATAATTCAAAGGGAATCTCAATGAAATCTTCAAACGTGTCAGCATTTTGGTAAATAAATGGCAATTTTCCAGCATTTCCCACTCACACCGGAATAATATACATACATACATATGTACATCTATATGCGTTTATTTATGATTGTATCGAGATGGATGTACAGGCCGACGGAGAGGCCAGAACCAGAGAGAACCGAAAACTATTTCCACCCACAAAAGTGTGGCCAGCCCGCAGGTGGAGTGGCTGTGCACCTGATCGGGGGTCCCATTAGGGCAACAAATTAGCTTTGGCCCTCCGCTCGCTCGAATGTCCGTAATTTACGACCCGGAGATGCAATCCCAGGCCGAATCGAATGGCATTTGTGCATTTTGTTTTGCCATAAATCATAATGGTGGGCAGGAGGGGTGCCTGCCACAATCCTCTGCTCCGCTCTGCTCAGCTCTGCTCGTACGACGCAGTAAGCTGACTTACTTTCTGGCACTGCTCCGAAGGCTTTTGCTTTTCCTAATTGATTTACAACACTTTCGAACCTTGCCCAACACACAAACGACAAATGCAGGGCTCCGGCAGCGGCTGCGGCTGCGGCTCCTCCTCCTCCGCCAAGTGTTTCGCTCTCTTATCTGTATCTTGCGAATGCGAGAAAATATGCAACTCGTACTTGCAATATTCTTGCAGGATGGAACAAAGGGAACGGGTTGGGTTGCTGTAATGGTGGCGGGGGGGTGGTGTGGGGTGACGCTTGGGCTGCATTCGGTGGGACTTGCTCAATGCTCGATTGCGCGACAATCGCAATGGGACCATATACATGTACATATATATATATATATACATATATATGTATGTATGTATGTATTCTGCAGCTTATCATTCATTGTGCGCACACATGCGAGAGTGTGTGTGTGTGTGTGCCCACTGACTGACTCCCTGGGGTCGCATTGGAGCGTGAGCATTTTGCAAAAATAATTTATGGCAAACTGTTGATTGTTGACAGGGGGGCCCCCAAAGCGGCATAGCAGCAGTGGAGCAGAGGAGCAGAGGGTAGGGTGTGCCAGCAGCAGCAATAGAAACAGGAAAGCAAACAGAAAGAAGTAACAGAAACAGAAACAGCAATGGGGATAACAGATAACAGCAAGAGATAACAGGCAACAAAAGCATATTAACCCGGACCCGGGCTACGTGCAACAGTTAGCTGTTAACTGGTTACACTTGGAAAACCTATTTTCCCAGCGATAGTTTTAATTTAAAGAACTAAATGAGAAAGTGATTTCTGATATACATAGCAGAATCTGCCGACATGAATATGGGGCAAAGATATATCCGAGATACTGGGATAAATGATACATATATAAATACATAGTTAATGGTGGGGGGGGTGCACCTTATGGCCAGCAATATATCCTTTTTGGCTGCTCCAATGTGCCGCGAAATAAAACTCAATCCGTGCCCCATATCTCAGGTGCCCAACAAAAGCTTCAGCCGTCAGCTTCGCTTAGAGTTAAGTGTGCACCGCTGCTAGAATTTATCATTAGTTTCTGTATTGATGAGTTGTACGGGGGGGGGACATACATATAAGTAGGTATGGTGCGATACAATATACTCGTACATATACTATATAGATTAACAATTGTAATCGCGGCTGTTGTTGATTTTTCCAAGCGAAACGAAACGAACAAAACAAAACAAAACAAAAAGCGAAACAGCAGAACAGCCGACAGCCCGACAACTTTGGTTGGGTGTTGATGTGTTTTCAAAAACATTGCGTCATTCCCAGATGGCAAGCCAAACCGACCCCCTGCATCAGGCCACTACTATGCTTTGGCACTCATATATGTATGTATGTTTGTATGTACAGACCAGAGTTGGGTCCAAGTGGCAGACGATCGAAGCGCTGGCTGGCTCGCTGGCTGGCTCGCTGGCTGGCTCGCTGGCTGGCTGGCTGGGGCACGTTGCGGAATCGGAATCAGAATCAGAATCGACGATGGGTTCGGTTCGTAGAAAAACTCAACAAATTCTACGAACTGAACTTGGGGTTGTCGTTGTATATCGGAAAGCAAACATCAGTGTGCTGTGCTGTGGTGTGGGATACAAGCTATACGATATGTACGAGTAAATATGTACATAGATACACATACATATGTGACTATAGGAACATGATTGATATTTGCCAGCCATGATTACTCCGTACATACGCGCAAAAGTTGTGATAAAACTACAACCAGTATACCGCAGGCAGTTACTTATAGGCAAATCACAGAGAAGTTGCACGGGTTTCACTGTAGCACATACATACATATGTATGTATGTATCTCTATGGCATATAGTACGAGTATCTGCAGCAGGATGCCATGCCATAGGGAAAGCTATTAATGGCAGAGGCCGTAATCTGCATCCAGTTTCAGACAGTTGGGCGACAGCGTCAAGCCAATGAGGGGGGAAAATTGGAATTTGTACTTTTGCAAGATTACGAGAACTAATACTAGAAAAGGCATTGGAATGATTGGAGTTGAGTATGGAATGAATTATAGTTATTGATGAGGTTATAAAACATTAAATTGTATTTCTCTATAGCTATCAACACTAGGCGGGGGGCTGCCGTCGCAAAGCACGTCAAAGAAACTAACAGAAAGAAGAATCCGAAGAGCTGCCGCTTTTGCGCAGCTTCAGATGAAGCCACGCTTTCGGCTTGGCTCCATTAACGGCGGTCTTCCTGGCACGCCCGCGCTTGGTCTTGGCTTTGGCTCTGGCTTCGGGCTTAGGCGCTGGCTTAGGCTCGACGCATCCGCATGAGTTCAGATCACGGGCCGGGCAAGGCAGCCCCTTCTCAACGATGCGGGCCAGCAAGTACTCGTTCTGTGATCAAAAGACATGAAAAGCTGGCCAAAAAGGCTTCAGAGCTTGAAGCAACTTACCTCCTCGAAGAGGCACTTCTCGTCGGTAGGGAGGGCCTGCCAGGCCCTGGAGGCCTCGCTAAGAAGCTCCTGAGGCGTCATATTATAGTCCACACAGGCGTGCCGGTACTCTCGCAGGAAGTTGAATGGCGCACTGCCTGTAACAAACACGACGCTGATTTGGCAGGACTGTGTTTCGCTTCTATTATTATTTGCCATGATCAAAAGAAAAACTCTAGACTAATTTAATTTATTTTAGGTTTTTTGTATGTTGTATTCAGGAGCTGCTCCTTGAAACTGAATTAGCTAACACAAAGATTCGTATATGTACATATGTACATTTAATGCATTGCCTACTTTGATCAGGATATGTCAGGATATGTTCTTATTACCCTTGAATTAAATCCTTGAAAGTGATTTCCATTTATTGGCATTATTTTAGCTGCTACAAACATCTTTCATGGCCTTCCTCTTTTCGTTGGGGCTTTCTTTGAAAGACCTACATCAATTTTCGAATTTCCTCAGTCTGTTTATCTTCGCTAGCACCGGTTCATCGCTCATTAGGTTCAAGTAAACACACTTCTCGGTTATATACGAAGCCATTTATCACTTATCACAGCTCAATGGGCAAAACGACAACAAACTAAATACTGAAATCGGAAATCGAAAATCGAGAGCTTTTTATGTCACAGATAGCAGCATTACTCGAATGTAAATGTTTACCTCACAAATAAATATGAACTTCAATGGGTTAAAAGTTATAAAAGCTGTTAAAAAGTTATTAAAATTTGAGTACTAATTTTAATCGTATGAAATATTTAAAGAGCAGATCTAAAAGTATTTTTTATCTGCATAAATACCTTAACTATTCCTTAGTTTTAATCTATTTAATACAGACATATATGTATATGTATGTATGTACTACAAAGTCGAATTGCCAAAGACAAATTGCTCTTAGCATAAAATTTGCTTCAGGCGATCCATAAAAGCAGAATTAACCATTTTGTTGTTGTTGTTGTATACAATATTTCTGAATTGTTTATTTAGCAATTAATGTTTGCTTTGTGGCCGCCACCCTCTTTAAAATTGCCTAGTTCTTTGATACAGTTGAGAGCGTTTGTGATTTATGAACGAGACCCTCAGCGTGAATGTATGAGTGGTGGGGAGTGTGGGGTGTGGGGCATATGAATATGAATAACCGTATCGAAGGCGAACAACGAGCCTCATTGTTCTGGGCGCTTGTTGCTCAATAGCTCCAAACAGTCGGAATAATTAGCCCGTCCCCTCTCCGGGCACACAATTGATCTCTTTTTATAACGCTTACTTAATAGTACTGGGCACTGGGATTGGAGCCGTAATAATGCGCCATAATACGATCAAAGATGAGCCATTATTATGGGTTGGATTTCTGTATCATTTTGTTGTGCACGTAAAATGGAAAGTGATTATGGTTAAATGCGTTAAATTGCAGGTATTATGTGTAGTTATTAGGCAGAAGTTGTAAAAATGAAACACCTAAAAGATAAATATCATCAAGACATTACTCTCTTTGTGGATATCTTCGGACTATTGGGTTATATTTAACTTCTCTTCACGGTTTATGGCTGAATCCTTGCAGTGACTGAGGCATTGTCTTCGTATCATATCCGTTGATTTGTTGCACAGGTTGTAGATGCTCGAATATGCAAATCTGGCATCACATAAACCCCAACCACAACCCCAATTCAGTACAATCCCAAACCACACCCAATCCCCCCCATTTACCTGTCGTAAAATGAATAAATCCAATTTCACATCATTTTCAAAATGAAATTCAACATTTCCGTAATTTATTAGGCTGCTGCACACACATACATATGTACATTGTTTATGCATAACAAAAATTAAGATTTACACATTTCATGTTCCATTTGTCTCTCGTTTGTTTTTTTTGTTTTTTGTTTTTTTCTTTAGGCTATTTACAGATTTAGGATTAAACATATGGCTCTGCATATGCGGTAAAAAGTTAATTAAATTTACATGTTTGCTAAGGGTTTTTTCATTTATTGTATGCAGATTTCTGCAATTATTATGCGCTTTTCTGTTTCGCTTTGTATTTATGCATAAAGATAACAAGACTTAATTGACTAAAAAAAATAAAGGCACCTGAGTTCAAATTGTTATTGCCAAATGTATATCAAATAAAATAAAAATCATAATAAACGAAAATCAAAAACTATAATCGAATAACGATGATAATAATAATAATATAGATATACATACATATATTCGTATGTATGTATATGAGTGTGTATAAAGACACAATTAACGTAAAGCATTTATAATTAATTCATTTTATTTAATGGTATGTTTGTTGCTCCAACCTCTTCTACTGTTTGACTGACTTACGCTTGCGATATACCCACAGATATCGTCTGTATATATGTGTGTGTGTGTCTATATATGTATATATATGTATGTAGATAGATAGATAAAGTGTTTTCCCTGAATGAAATGCTCGATATGTGCCCCGCCCCGCCCCTGGTATCCAGTTTAGAATTGTTGGCTCTGGTTTTCCCACCCCCCCCATCCCCCTTGTTGCTTTGCTGACTAGTGCGTTGTCTCTCCATCCTCTTGTCCTACATCGTCTATATTTTGTTTGGGTTTTTTCAACCTCCATTTGGACTACTACTACTACTGGCTATGCTTCACACTCTACTACACCTACACCTACATCTACATCTACTACATCTTATACAGCTGCGGTGGCTCCTTGGTGGAGGGTATACCTTGATCGTAGGCACCGAGCTCCGCCTCGTAGAGCAGGTTGTTTATGAGATGCTTTACGGCGATCTTTGACTTTGAGGTCTTAAGTTTGCGGATTGTGATGGCCACGTACTCCCCGAATACGCCGTACTCATCCGCATGATTGGCACTCAATCCTGTTTGCTTTGGCGGTGTGGCACCGCTGCTGGAGCTGCAGTTGCTCGATGTTACGGCCGTGGCGGTGGCCAGATCCAAGGATGTGTTGCTGGTGTTGCAACTGGAACCGTTGTGGTTGCTGCTGCTGTTGTTGTTGATGTTTTTGGCGGTGTTGCCGCCTCCTGCCAACGCTGCTGAGAGATCACGATCACGATCACGTTTTTGTGCCATGTTTGTGGAATGTTTTTGCTGGTTTTGTTGCTGTTGTGGATGTTGCTGCTGCTGCTGCGGTTGCGGTTGCCCGTTGCAATTGTGGTTGTGGTTAAAGTGCTGCTGCAGCGCGTGAAACGCGAGCTGGCCGTGGTTCATCTGCTGCCCCTGCGATTGCGATTGCGATTGCGCATGTGCCGTCGCCGGCGAAGACGATGTCTTGATGGGCGTCAGTGTCAGGGCCCCCACGACATGCTCCATGCCCAGGACCACGCCCGCACCATTCTCGTCCAGCGCCTTGCGCTTCCGATGATTGTAGGTGAGGTCCGTTGGCTTGTAGTAGTTGATGGGCGAGGGCGTACTGCTCTGTCTGTCCAGCAAACCCATCTCGGATTCGTGCTCTATCTGCGGAAGAAAAAGGCGAAAATATTGATGGGTTTTATTTTGTTTTTAATTAAATGGGAAATTGCCACAGCCTCTACCGATCTTAGTCAAGTCTGTCGCCCTGTTTCATCATGCAAAGATGGGTCTGATCTGTCGAATAAAAAGAAAACACCGGAACCTGTTCTATCAGTGACATTGGCGTCTGACGAAATCTGTGTCAGGTTATTTCATCAACTAATCGCCCGATGAGCATCGCGTTTTTATATTCTAATAATATCATCAGTCATTCCCATAGGTCTGCGCTAGGTTTAAGGAGGGGCGGAAAGGACGTACACCTTGATAAGGCCATAAAGTCGAGTCATTCAGTTGACCTGTCTGAATGATTATGTCTGGGAAAGTAGGTATTTGGTCTTATAAAGAAATATGAAAAAAAGCTTTGGAAAATCAAATTTCTATAATTTCAATTATGTTATTATAACTAATTCGTATTTTTCGTATTGTTTCGTACAATCCCGTGCCATTCGAAACTCTACAAATATTCTCTAATTACTCCCACGAAACCACTTGATTTGACGGCCACTCTAACATAAAACAAGTTTTAATTACGCTAAAAAAATATATACATATACAGGTATACATATAACTTCAACCTGTCAGATCAATTAAAGTACAATCAACAGTCGCGGATCGAAAGGGTACTTACAATTTCTGTTTTCACATCTTCGGCGCTGATTCTACAGTAATTCTCCCCGTCCAAATCGGACGAGGAACGTGTCTGCGAAAGATCAGAAAAAAAAGAGAATTAGCGGAGAATTCGCCAGAAAAACAGCAACAAAGAAAAAATAATAATAATAAAAATAATAGCAGAAGTAGTGGATCCAGTGGGTTGGGTTGTGGTGGTTGGTTCGGGAGGGGCGCAAGAGAAATAGAAAACAAATTAGAATAATCATAAAGAAAAGCACACAGATGAAAAAGATCACACAGATGGAGCCCCGAGTCTGAGACGAGTCGAGTGAAGTAGAGTCGGGGCCCGCTGGCGATTGAATTAGTCACGGTGGAGCAGGGCGGGACGGATCGGATCGAGAGGGAGCCAAGTCAACATTGAAGTGGACCAACGGGTAGACGGACGGACGGACGGACGGACGGACAGACAGACAGGCAGAAAAACAGACAGACGTGAGACGAGTAACCAAAACACACGAAAAATCAAACGAAAATAACACAAGAAGAATAAAAACTTTTCGAGGTGCATCGAATTTTGTATACCCTATTACCAAATTATACCGACCTTATGGTCCTATGGTACATGCATTATTTTTGGTCGGCTCTTTAAAGGAAGTTTATTAAAACCAGCTAACATTTTTTCAGCCAATGAAAATGTATAATTTACATAGCAACATAATGACTTCTTCCTCAAGCTTTCGTCGCGCCTCCTGCAGCAAGCATACCTTTCGCTGCAGGGTATTAAATAAAAACCGAATGAGCGAATGAGGCACAAAGCAAACATCAGCAAAAAGCAACAGCAACAGCAACAAAACGCAGTCCAGCAGCAACTTGCTGTATTGGAACTGCTGCGCTGCTGCGGTTTGGGGGCGGCCAAGCATTGATGAGCGGAATGGCGGGAGAGGGGAGGATGGTGATAATGGGAAAGGGGCAGGGTCGGTGCAAAACGTGGGGCTGCCGATTTCTACGGCTGATGCAACACCCATACACATTTATGTTCGTGCATGTATGTATGTATTATTGTACGTGTGTCTATTTGTATGACGGTCGCAACAGAAGCAGCAGCAGCAGCAGCGCAATCAAAGCCAGTTGACACTCACACCAGTGCAGACTGACGCCAATACAAGCTTCGCTTCTCGAGCGCATGCGACGCAATAGCCACGACTGAGCACAGTGGAACTATGCCAATCAGCATTAGAAAATTCTAAATAGTTTGATATATTCAAAAACCTATGCAAATGCATTAGATGCACATTGCAACTGAAGCATTGAAACTTCATAATCTTTTTGCATGAAAATTTATGGTTCCACAGTACCGAAAAACCCTAACCCTTGATACAATCATTTCTATCATCTAACTGAGTATCGAAGATCGGTAAATTACTTTAAAGAAATTACCATCACGTCCCACTGTGCGCCACCGGTTGCGCCGATGCCTCTGCCTCTGCCTTGCTGCTGCTGCTTCTGAGGAACCGCTAGACAGCGACAGCGCGTGTGCTGCTGGCTGCCGCAAAACAAGTCAAACCACACTCACACACACACACACACACGCGCGCGCATGCAAAGCTCCAACGAAAAGTTTACACATACACATACATACATACATGTACATCCCATATGTATGGCCACATGTGTATGCAAAATATTTAAAATCAATAGAGTTTGTTTTAGAGGGGGAGGGGAGTGCTTACCACAGTCGCTGAGGAGGGGGGGCGACGGCAGCCCCCACCAGTATCGCCGCTCTCGTCGAGATCTTCCTCGGCGCCAACAGCATTCTGAGCATCCCTGTCCAGACTTAGGTCCCGTTCTCGATCCCGGTCGCGATCCCTGGCATTGGCCGCTGCCGCAGCCGCTGCCACAGCAGCGACAGTGGCTGCAATGCGGGCGGCGAGCTCCTCGTGCTTCTGATCAACAACCTGTTGCTGCTTTCCCGCTGCCGTCGCCGCAGCCGTCAGCTGTTCCAGATCCAGACTGTGCATTAGCGCCAACTTCTCGTCCGTCTCCGGATCCACGTCTGGATCGCAGTGGACTCCATCGACAGTCATTACGGTTATGTCTCCGTCCAGGGCACTGCCACCGTCCCGCTCTCCGTCCAGAATGAAGCGGATGGCCTCGTAGGCGAACCACATGGGCTGGTACAGCACACCCCGGTTGCGCCCGCTCAGCACCTTGCCGTGCTCCCGGTGGAAAGAGCTGCGCAGTGACTTGATCTTGGAGCGAATCGAGCGGATCTCCGTGCCGTACTTCTCGCTGAGCAGTTTGAGGGCCTCGTACTTCGTCTGCTTGATGTGGTAGCCCTTTGTGTTGGGGTCCCACAGCACCCGCTGACAACGGTAGTCCTCGATGAAGCCCAGGATGGTGGCGCGCGACCATTCGACGCGGTCCACAGGTGTTGGCGTCAATGTTGGGGATGGCGGCAGCGCCAGTGGCAGCGGCAGAGGCAGCACTATGGCATTGGAGTTGGCATCGAGCTTGTACTGCTGCGCTGCTGCGGCGCTGCTGGACATCGTGGTGAAAGTTTTCCTGTGCCCGCTCCCCCGTGCAGCTGCTGGCTGTGCTCAATGATGGGGCTGGGATGGGTGGTGGGCTGGTGCGGTGGCGGTGGTGGAGGTGGGTGCAATGAGGCTGAGGTGGGTAGGAGGTGCAGGCTGCTGCTGCTGCTGCGTCTGGAGGTGGTGGTGGTGGTGGGAGAGTAGAAAGAGAGAGAGAGAGGAGGCAGCAGCAAAAAAGGCGAACGCAACGCGACGACGAAAAAGCGTCCACAACACGTTGCTTTTGACTTTCGACTGAGGCGGCGGCGGTGGTTGGCGGTTGGCGGCTGCTGGTGTGTGGTGTGGTGTGGCAGAGGAAACAGCAGCGGCAAGTGCGGCCGCGGGCAGCGGGCAGCGGGCAGCGGGAGAAGGCAGCGGCGCGTCCAAACGGCAGCTCAGCTGCACTTTGTGCGAGAGAGAGAGAGCGTGGAGAGCGAGCGGCAGGCAGGCAGGCAGGCGACGTCAACGCTGTCGCTTCGTCCAAAATCAACGCAAAGGTGTGCGACTCTCTCCGTCTGTCTGTCTCTCCGTGTGTCCGTCTATCCGCGTGTGTGTTTGTGAGTGCTGCTTGCAGCGGTGGCAGCAGGCGGGCTTTTTTTTGCGCGGCGACGGAGACGAAGACTGAGAGACCTGTTGTTGCTCGACTGATAATGCGCGCTGCTTTGTTGTAGTTGTCGTTTTTCTATTTGTTGCTGCTGCTGCTGTGCTATCAGCTGTTTTATGGCATATGGTTGTTGTTGCCGCACTACGTGCGACGCCGCTGCCACTGCTGTTGCTGTTGCCACTCGGTTGGCGGCTACTTTGCGTGCTGCTGTTGCTGTTGTTGCTGTTGTTGCTGCTACGATCCCCAACACCAACACACGTTCCTGTTGCTGTTGCTGCTGCTGCTGCTTGCGGTTGCTGCTCGCTCGTTTTGTCGCCGCTTCGTCGTCGTCGGCGTTCGGCGCTCGTCGTTCGCTGTTGAAATCACGATTTGTACTAATTTCACATATTTAAACTGTGTGTGGCATGCGCGCTGCTCCAAGCAGCGGCAGTGGGGCCGGTTGGTTGCTGGTTGCCGCTGCCGATGTTGCTGCTGTTGGCCGTAAGTTCGTCACTTGCTTTTTCGCTCCTCCGCCCCTCCTCCCACTACCGCAAAGCACTCTCCCTCTTCACTCTTCTCTCCACACACTCTCTCGCACACACCTTTCCAACCTTGTGCTTGTTGTTGCCTCGCTCGTGTCGCGAGTTGCGATCGTTGCTGCTGCTGCTGCTGCTGCCGCTGTCGCTACCGTCAACAGCAACACGTTGCACAGTGGGCCCCGTTTGTTAGCTGAGCCTTCTGCGCATGTGGCACAGGGCTGCCAAGAAAAATTTCTGGCACTTTAGCCACAAAAGTGATGGCGACCATGATGCCTGCCTGGAGAGGCAACACGGTGTACATATATACCTATTAATAAACACACATATGGGTACAGTGTGGCAAGTTTGGTTGTATTGTGGCAAGTGTGAGTGCATGCCACGAAAATACTTGTTTTGAATTTGCCTCAGAGCAAATCTAAATTAAAATATTTATATTTAAGTGTGAGTAGATTAGAAGAAAAAGGTTTTAAAATTCTGTTAATTCTAATGTTATATTTTAATAACCCACATATGCATATTAACTAGAATACCAAACATTATCCCACTGCGCTTTACCAATCCCGCAGTCTTATGTTCTTTGTCCCACTGTGTTTCGGCAGTCAAAGCTGTAAATATTGTTGCTGTCGCTGCCTGGTCCTGCCCTACCCGCACCACCTCCCCCCTCGCTTAACACTCAGCAACACTGAGAGAAATTGTTATCGTTGCTGCCGTCACGTTGTTGCTGTTGTATTTGGACAAAGTAAAAACGAATGAAAAGGTAAAAACCGAAACGCCTGAAAACACGGTAACAAATTTAGCGAGTCAGCTAAATAACAGAAAAAGAATCAAAAAAGGAATTGCATTTCACGGCGAATATGGACGTTTTTAGGTCGCTGTTATTTATACCCTATAGAGGGAAGTTGCTACGATTTAACCCAGATGCTTGCAACATCTTCAAGCCAATCGGAAAATAAGTATTTGTTACACAGCCTGTTAGTTGTTGGGTTAACTTCAGCAGATATTGAACTGAGTCAAATTGTATCAGTTAAGCTGATATAAGCTGATCAACTTGCAAGGGTATCAAAGCATCGGTATCCGAAGCTAATTCCCCTTTTCGTTTTTGCTTTTGTTAATCATGAGGATGGTGTGTTGCTTGTGAGGTGAGGAGAGGCAGGAAAGTTCTGTTGCTCTGAGACCCGAAGTTGCCGTCGCTCACGTAGGCGCAGCGCAGCGGCCACTTGGCTTCGTTTTGTTTTTGCATTTACTGTTGACATTAGACTTAATGGTGGCTTGCGACCTGCTCTCCATGTTCACTCTCTCTCTGTAGCTCGCCTACACTCACTCTCTTGCTTTGCTTGTCCGTCCTCCTCAGCACGTGCGAATGTTTTCTCATTTCGCCGAATTTCGATGTAACTGCAAGAGTGCAGTGTGTGTGTGTGTGTGTGTGTGTGTGTGGGACAGGGACAGAGTGACTAGGCTTATCAGTTTGTTCAATCTCTCTCTGTCGCCCTCCACCACACAATGTGCTCTTGAGCTCCCCTCCCCTCCCCCCGCACTCTGTTATATTGCGGAAGCTTTCGCGTCTGCCTTGCCTGCTTCTTCTTATTTTACTCTCCATCGCGCCTTAACGGCTCATTATCAGACACACTGCTGCTACCGACGTCGGCAGCGACGTGTTTGCCGCACCTACGATAACGGAATTAAGCTGACATTTTCATGCAGCCCGGGAAACCGGCTGTGTGGACCCTGCTCCTTGCAACCGATTCCCCCCTCTCCTCATTGAGCAAGCATAGTGAGTCGCAGTCCGAAATTGGCTCTGCCTGCGTCAGCGTTGCGGTGCAGAGATTTTTTTTGCCATCAATTTTCGCCTCAAGTTGACAAATTGACGTTCAAAGTTGTTTGCGCTGCATTTTTAGCCACAGTTTTGGTTGCGCTGCCTGTTTTTCCTCCTTCCATGCTCCCCTTCTGGTAACACAGCCAACGGTATTCATTGCTCGTTCCCGTTCTGTTTCTGGTTCCTTATTATGTTATGTTATGATTTTCCGTACTCTTGTCATTTCGCGCTACCTTTAAATGTGATTGCCAGAGAGTGCGGGAGAGAGGTACTTGTCTGTGTATGTGTGTGTGTTTGGAACTGACGACTTTACAGTGGGTGAGTAAAGTTTGTGTAGAAACAAAACTAGTCCGTATGAAATATGTATTAGATATATATAAAAGGAACAAGGAACTCAGGATTCATTGTTGCATAATTGTTGCAACTGATATTTATTTAAGTCTCTTACAAAGTGTACCAAATTGGTTTATTTCGTACAAGATTTATTAGCAGATGAAAACTTTTTTGCTCCACTGTCGGTTGGCGGAATACATAAACTGCAATTTCTGTTCCTGCTGCCGCTGTTTTGCTGTGTTGTTACTGTTGTTGCTATTTCAGTTTGTCATTGCCATCTAAAATGCATTGAGCTGTCACATTAGAGAAGCAACTCGATACGTCAGTCCCCCCGCACCCGTCCCTCTCTCTATCATTTCTCTGCTCTGCCAGTCTCCATTCAGCTTCACTGCTGTGCTCTGTTCTCCTGCACTCACTCTCTGCCTCTCTCTCTCTCTTCTTCTGATCACCTTCCTTCCATTAGTGGACCCTAAGCATTTTACTCAATGTCGTGAAAGCATTGAAAGTTTTCCTTTCTTGGTGCTCGTTCTTTTTTGTCAATCAATTTCGAAGGTGTTGCTGCTGTGGATGGATGTTGCCTGTGGATGTTGTTGCTGCTGCTACTGTTTGCCGTTGCGTGCACTTTAGTGGAAATTGCTGTTGACGTTGGTTATATGGAATACTTGCAAGTAAAAATACATATTTTTATTCAATTTCCAACATCACGTCGTCAGGACGTCGCCATTGTCAACGCTGCAGTCGCAGTCAGCGTCGGCGTCGGCGTTGGCGTCCGCGTCGCTGTCATTGTCTTTTGTTATTTTTTTGCAATTGCCCTGCAATTCCCCCGCCTTTTACTCCACCCGCTTTGTGTTTTTTCTGATGTTTTTTCTACTCTTTAGTCGGTGTTTTTTTTGTTTTTTTTTTCAATTATGCATCGCACAATGCTTTTCTCTCTCCTTTTTTGCACCTCTCCGCCCCGGGTGGAACAGCCGTGCAACGGTTCAACTGTTTAGCCTGTCGCGGATTAGTCGCGCAGCTGTCGCTGTTGCAGCGCTGCAAAAGCATTTCCTTGTGCCCGAAGCTCTGTCCCGACGATGATGCTCTGCCGCTGCCTCCGCTAGTTGCCTTCCTTCTAAATGAAGTGGGCTGGCAATTTCTTTGCTGTACCCTGTACAGGGTAGTCATAGAGTACAAGGGTATATATGTTTGGCAAAGCTGTATGTAACAGGCGGAAGTTAATGATTTCCAAATATGTATCCCCCGATTAGCATTAAAACTTTAGTTGCCATGCCCGTTTGTCTATACGTATTAACGTTTAAATGTAAACTGATATCTGTGATGTTCCACTTAATTTCTCAATTAAATGATATGAAATCGTTTTCTAGCAGGGTATTCCATAGTCGTAATATCGAATATTTCACCTACTTGTTGTGTACCGGCTAAGCAGCTCCTGAGTGAGTGAGTGAGTGAGTGAGCGTTTACTTATTTACTTAGTTGCCTGAGTTTTGCAACTGATGCGTATCAGATGGCCGGACTGGTCGCTGGGGCTGTTCGGGCCTGGTCCGGGCTTAGGCCTGGTCTACTAGGTGCTAACGGGAAGTCGCCGTTGAGTGAGCGGCCAAAGGAAGTGCATTTGAATGAATGCACATCTGATAATGCCTAATACCCATAGACAGCCAACGCATTTGCACTCACTATGCCCGCTACCCTCCCCACCCCTCCCAAGATTCTCCTCACTCGAGTGGCCAAGGCACTTGGGATATGTTTAATTAACATTTTTGTTTTGCACCGATTTTGCGAAGGTTGAGAACTAACGCCAACACAAGCCATGCGAGGCGTCGAAATGATTGGTGGGTCTGCCAAATGGAACAGCTCCAAAGAGGTTTTTGTTGGCTCTGGAACGGGGGGGTCCCCAATAAGTCACAGCCAGAACGAAGCTTGTATTCATTTTTGTAGCGATCATTTCTTCTGTTGATGGAATTTTTTAGATTAAATATACTTATAGTACAACTATCCCTAGAGCGTAATATGTAAGAAGGAATCTTCTTGAAAATAAATACACGTCTTCTTTTTGGCTTCGTATTCGCCTGGAAAGTTTTGG